ATTTTATATTTGAGAAAATCGTGACTGTGCGCTTACATATTTTTTTTGTAAATATCCATGTGTTTGTATTTTTATTAACATGTTTTTGTGTTACTTAAATTTGTATGTATATTTGTTATTTTAATAATGACAAAAGCACATCTAATGGTTTATTTACTAAACTAGATATATAAACCATTAGTTAACACTTTTAACTAAATACAGTAAGAATTAGCTTTTTTTTTATTTATTTATTTTTTTACATTTTTGTTATAGATATAAAAAAGCTATTCTTTATATTTTAACCCCCTCCCCCAAAGTATTTAATTTCAGTTTAACAGGTAAATGTATAGTTAGACATGGGCTGAGACAAGTAAAAGCATGTACACATATCAATCAATTAATCAGTAGCGTGAGAGGTATTTGCTTGTGCCATTGTATGGTTTTGTTCCAAAAATTGTATAAACAGATCCAACATTTTATTTTTAGGTGATTCTTTTCTGTGCAATGTATTGTGTCAAATCTTTCAGCCTGTGGTCAATGAATGGACTTTTCATGTTCTTCCAATAGAATGCTATCAAACACCTTACAATAATAAGACACATGTTAACCATTTTAGTTTGAAAACCTGGTAATGACAAACTTAATGAATTTGCTTTTGATTCATTTTTAACAAATGAGTATTACAGTTTAGCTATTGTATAAGAGTAGGGATTTAGAACAAGAATGTGATTTATAAGTACCAATAACTTAAAACTGCTAATAAGCCACTATCTAAAAGTGGGTATTGGTCTTAGTCTTACCAAAACTTTAAAAAATGTAGATATGAAGCTATTTAAACAAGCAATACATTTTGTTTACTGTATAATGTACTGTATTCTTACTATAATGTACTGTACTGTACTATACTATACTCTACTATATTCTTTTTTACACTACATTACACTATTATATATTATACGATACTGTACTATACTATATTATACTATACTAAACACTCTCAGAAATAAAGGTATGCGATCTGTCACTGGAATTGTACCTTTTCGAAAGGTATAAATTTGTAGCTAAAAGGTCCATATTAATACCTTTAGGGTACATATTAGTACCTAAAAAGTACAAAAGGGTTCCTCTTAAAATTTGTAGGTACTAATATGACCCTTGAGGTAATAATATGGACCTTTTAGGTCCAACTTTTTACCTTTCGAAAAGGTACCACCCCAGTGACAGCTTGCGTACTTTTATTTCTGAGGGTGTACTATACTACTACTACTACTACTACTACTACTACTACTACTATAAATGCTATATCCACTGCTGCAGCACATCTTTTGTTTGTACTCCACCAGTTGAAAACCACCACCCTGAATACTAATGAAACCAGTGAGGATTTATATGGTGGTTAGGTCTGTAGTGATTATATAAGAGTTTGACTGAAGGTGAGAGAGAGTGTTAGATGGAGGACTGCAGGACTGTGGGCTTCATGTCTGATTAGAAGAGGCCATTGGGTGACTGTCACTGAGCTCAAATTGATTTGGGCCCATGAGGAAGGCGATACACAACACACTGACACGGGTTAATACAGCACGTCCGTATCTGATGGCCTGTTCTCCAGTCAGTGTCACACGCATACTTGAAGCTTTTTCTGTGTGCAGATGTTTGTCTTGCCTTCAGAGCAATCAGAGGTGAACTTGATTGATTAAAGTTTAATCGGTTAACTCTCCTTGTCCATCTCTCTCTTGCACACACACACACACACACACACACACACACACACACACACACACACACACACACACACACTTTAGAAGATAAATTGAAGAAGTCAGCCAAGGTGATCTTCAGACATTGTTAGCATAGCAGAGTGTGTTTGTTTTTGCGTACCTGCTATTTGGCTGTTCTTTCAACCATATCTTTGTTTGGTGAGAAAAAAAGAGAAAGAGTATTAAAAGAAAATCTAATAAAGAGTAGGCATGGGATGATAACCGGTTTACCATGGTTTGTAAAAGTCAAGGTTTTAAAACGGGGATCACGAAACTTGTTCCTGGAGGTTCGGTGTCCTGCAGATTTTAGCTCCAACCCTAATCGAACATACTCGAACAAGCTAATCAAGGTCTTACTATGCATTCTTGAAACACCCAGGCAGGTGTGTTGAGGCAAGTTGGAGCTAAACCCTGCAGGGCACCGGACCTCCAGAAATGAGATTGGTGACCCCTGTTTTAAAACCCCTAAAATTTTCTGTTACACCATTCCTCCGCTATTTGCAAGTAACTTTTTTGTAGTTATTTTTAACATGTTTTTTTATGACCATTTAATTTAGTTTTTAGGGTTTTTTCACACCTACCTTATTTAGTTCAGTTGAATCACAATGGAGTTTGTTTTTCTTCTTGGTGCAGTTTGTTTGGGCAGGTGTGAATGTAGCACTCGAGTGCGCACCAAAAGCGGACCAAAAAAGTGTACTGAGACGTACCTTGAAGAAGTGGTCTCGGCACTCTTTCAAACAAACCCTGGAGCAGTTTGTTTGTGGTGAAAAGATGATCTTACCTAGAACAGACCCCATTGCAAAAAGTACTGTGCCATTTTGGACTAATCCAGCTGCCCTAGGCCAATGTGCTGTGCATTATGGGGTGTGGAGGAAAAAAATTGAGAATGAGTGAGAGAGAGGGAAAAACATTAACTGATATATCGTTGGTAATAATTCCGGAAGATGACCATGTCATAGTGTAGCTAAGTTAATTCATGCCTCCTCCTGAAGTGATTTGCGATGCGCTTTCACCATTTGCAAGGCACTAAAACATTGTTTTCCAGCCGTGCTTTATTCTTGAAATGTATAGTTTGTCTAAAGTGATGTATACAAACTATATAGTATACGATGGCCAGGGATACAATCAGCCAGCGCAGTCATCCCTCCATAGTAAAAAGTGTCATGTTGTGTGTTGACACCTGTGGTGAGAAATCGAGTCCTCCCTGACAATTGGGTCTGCCTAGGACCCTGGGTGATCCTATTGGTCTACTGGAGTTGTAATAGGTATAGTTTGTAGTGCATGATTAAAAATTGGAGTCCTAAGCAGACTCGATTGCAGGGGGCACTTGATTTCTTATGACAACGGTTTGTTTACTTGCGGGAGGTCCATTTGAATTTGATATTTATTATTATTAAATAAGATAGGCGACGCAGTGGTGCAGTTGGTAGTGCTGTCGCCTCACAGCAAGAAGGTCACTGGTCCCAGCCTTGGCTGGGTCAGTTGGCGTTTCTGTGTGGAGTTTGCATGTTCTCCCTGCATTCCTGTGGGATTCCTGTGGTTGCTCTAGTTTCCCCCACAGTCCAAAGATATGTGGTACAGGTGAATTGGGTAGGCTAACTTGTCCATCTGGAAGGGCATCCGCTGCGTAAAAACCTGCTGGATAAGTTGGCGGTTCATTCTGCTGTGGCGAGCTCAGATTAATAAAACAGACTAAGCCGAAAAGAAAATGAATAAATAAGATAAATCTAAGGCGACGGGGTGGTGCAGTAAGTAATGCTGTCGCCTCACAGCAAGAAGGTCGCTATTGAGAGTCTCAGCTGGGTCAGTTGGCATTTCTTTGTGGAGTTTGCATGTTTTCCCAGTGCTGGCGTGGGTTTCCTCCAGGTGCTCTGGTTTCCCCTACAGTCCAAAGACATGCGCTATAGGTGAATTGGGCAGGCTGAATTGTCCTTAGTGTACATGTGTACCTGAGTGTGTATGGATATTTCCTTATGATGGGTTGCAGCTGGAAGGGCATCTGCTGCTTAAAATGTGCTGGATAAGTTGCCGGTTTATTCCAATGTGGTGACCCTATTAATAAAGGGACTAAGCCGAAAGAAAATGAATAAATGAGCCCTACATTAAAGGGCACCTAGGTTACCCCTTTTTTCAGATTTAATATAAGTCTTTTGCGTCTCTGGAATGTGTATATAAAGTTTCAGATCAAAATAGCCATCAGATTTTTCATTATACCTTTTACAAGATGCTGTTTTATACGGATTTCCAGCAGGGGGTGGTTTTGTCGTACTGCGCCTTTAAGCCGAGTTCTGCCCGCCTACTTTTTCTACATGCCTCCTCCCTCAGCTGCGTCAGACAACAGACAGACTTAAAGGAAGAAGGTCTCACGTAGCGTTTGTGAGATACTACAGTAAGAACTAACCTTTACTAATCAGTATTGTGAAGTTGCATTGATGAGTCACACACAATATCGTTACAAAGTTAACGCGCGCGCGCGCGCGCACACACACACACACACACACACACACACACACACACACACACACACACACACACACACATACACACGCACACAAAGGCAGGCAGGCAGGCAGGCAGATAGACAGAGCGCGCTTAGCTTAGTTAAGGCTAACCTCAAGTACTGTGTGGATATCTGTTATGCTAATGTACAAAATAAACCTGATTTAACTTCCACAAACCGGGATTGAAGCGTCTTCTTTTATAATTGTTCTGACATGCGGCTGTGCTGATGAAGTAAAGCTGAAGTAAAACGCTGTAATTAATTACACACATACTCTGTTTTAAAACACTTTAAACATGTAAAACTTACTCTTAATCACATTTGATGATGATTGCTGATCCTAGCGAACAGAACAGACCTTTTATTCCCGGTTGCTTTGTGTATGTCTGTCTGGTCTTGTTGACATATACACGTGACTACCGGAACATATTAATGCGCGCAGCTGTCAATCAATTCGGTGGGCGGGGGGATCGCACACCTACGTAATGGTGCGATCGATTTGAAAACAGCTCCAATTGGTCGACCTTTTTTTTGTAGTTAAATTGAAAAAAAAGGACTGGGTGTGTTCATATCACCCCAGTATGACGGTCTATACACTATACCAACACACAGATCTGTCAAAACAGCTTGAAAAGTAGATTTTTTATCGTAGGTGCCCTTTAAGTAGAAGAGTTGAAGAAATATTTATTCATCAGAGTCAGTGAATAATTTTTGTTTACAATCTAATCTAACAAACCTTTTGTAATTTTTTTTCCTTTCAGAGGTCTATTCGGTCATTCGGCAATGATGACCGTCACGTCATGGCCAAACACTCCACCATCTACCCTTCCTCTGAGGACCTGGAGGCAGTGCAGAGCCTCGTCTCCACGGTCGAGTGCGCCCTCAAACATGTGTCTGATTGGATGGATCAATCTCAAGCCAGCCAATCGAATCCAACAAATGCATCAAGCACACAGGAGGAGGAGACAGAGCCCACCGTGGACGAATCGCCAGAAGGCAGCACAAAGTGAGTGCTCCCAGTGCATGCTGGGAAAGGGGATGCATTTCTGCTAGAGCTGCTCAAAACTATTGGAACGGTCAATAAATTGGCTGGAAAATGATGCTGATAAGATGATTGGTTGAATTCAAATATGCAGTAATTTACTTGTCTGCCAGGGATGCTAGTAATAAGATCAGCATTTTGGTGATTCTTGAAGTGAACATTTGCCTTTACGGTCATTTAGATTCAGTGTTTCATAATGTTTTCAGTAAATTGCGAAAGTGACTCCATGCACAGCACGCATCAGAAAGTTATTTACTAGTACTAGTTATTTACTATTTCACACTAGTTTAGTCCACACAGCATTCTCTTTATCACTAACAGCTTCTTCTTGGTGCTAATGAGAATTGTGTTTATTCATGAACTGCTGTGTTGCTCTAATTAAAGATGTCATATACTGCATTAGTTCAATAAATTAAATTGTTCTCTGATATCTATATACTAAGTTTATGGCTTCGATAATTTAAAAAAAATCTCCCGAAACGGTTTTATAAGCTAATTTATTACTCAATGAAATACCCATAGAATCAAAAGGTCCATGATTGACCATATATGGCTACTCATTGCGTGAAAATTTATGAGCTCTGCTCTGTTGTGCCGCCCTTAAGGCTGGTTTATACTTCTGCGTCGAGTGACTCATGGCGAAAGCATTGCGTGTAGCCATGCATTTAAACTCTGCGTGCTGTTTGTGTTGCTCTGCAGTAAAACTTCTGAAACGGTAGCTGGCAGTAGGTTTTTATTATCTTTTCTGTTGAGTTTCTTCATGGGTGTTTTTTTTTTCTGAATGCTACAAGTAGGTAAAAATCACTCATTTAAGGGTTGGAACTGGCAGACATGCAAAAACTTTAATCATAAAGTAAACATAAAACAAAAGTATCCATCTGCAGCTCCTTTACAGGACTCGAAACTTGCTTTATTGGGCTCGCGGTTCTCAGCACCCCCCACAGTCGACACTGGTATCAAGCTGACCAATCAAAATAAAACTTGCCAAAATCAAACTTGCGCTATGCCTCGTTGCGATGTGTAGTTACAGTTTTAGAGAGGTGCACCAGCGTCAGCAATGACAAGCACTATAGTATGCGACTGTGCGAAGGCTTCGCCAGAGCTTATGCACACGCTTGATGCAGAAGTATAAATTAGCCTTTACAGAAACACACACACACACAGCATGATGTACGCTTAACATGGACAAATATTAACCCAATCAGAGTAACATTACCCTATTTTGCTGTTGTGCGTTAAGGCTAAATTATAATTAAACTTGACAAAAAAATTGTGATAGAGATGTATGTCATTGTATTTTGAAGCTACAGTCAAAGAAAACACAGCCAGCATTTAATATCAACCTCTGTATGAACAGATGACAGTTGAGCTGAGTGATTTGGCATGATTCAGCAGTCCACACGTGTTCACATTTCCATACTCATCACATTTCACAATAAACATGATCAATTATCCAAATATGTAACTAAATATACCCTAATGCCTCTTCAGAGTGGAGATGAATAAATGTATAATCTTTAAATCTTGCATTTTGCATCCTGAGATGAATTTGAAACATGCCTTGTGCTGCCGTTGCCCAGTAACGCACAGTAAACAATTTGGTGCTCGCATTTTCAAAGTAAAATACAAAGTAAGTGAAAAATATGTCTAAAAATAACTAAAGGAGGAAATTTACCATTGTTGTCTCGCTAGAAGACGTTGTTGCTTATCAATTGCAGCATAAGCGTGCATATTAATGATCGCAGAGTTTTTTAATGATCTCAGAGCTTGATGGCTGCTGGTCAAGTCCGGATGAACAACCTAAATTAGGCATACAGAGGACTGTGAGTTTAGTCACAGTTTGTTTTGTCTTCTGATTGGCCCGTTGTCCACCTGGTTTTTACACTCATGGAATTTACATGAGGAAAAATGAGGAAGGCCCTTTTTGAAAATACCAGTAAATTCATTCCAGCAATTTTTCAGAAAGAGAAGTTGTAACATTACCAGAATTTTGCCTGAATGCTGCTCTGTGTGAATGCAGAAGGAAGATTGCCGGAAAGAGCGCGTTCATGTCGAGATGTCTACTTTAGCAAATCAGAACACTGTTTATGAAAATAAAAGCCATTGAATATTTTTCCAGACACATTGAGCTGCTAAATGTTAATCAGATAACGTTTCTATGTTCCTTCTTAATGCCAACTGTGTAAAACATTATCGATAAAATGCTCATGATGAACTGCTGTTTATTTACCTTCAAGCTCTGCTTGAGGCGTGTGCACGTGAAGAAGCTGGTGAGCGCCAGCACACACACATATTATGAACATCTCGACATGTGAAAGTGGTCCTCTATATGTTTTCATAAAAATAGTTCACAATACTTATCCATCCACATAATTTGTAATGTAGTGAAGTGTGTAAACATTCAGTTACGGTTTGGGTTTCTGCCTTTGGATATCTCACAAAGCAACTACATGAATGCTGTAAGAGCCAGTTATGCATAATTCATTTGCGATAATAATTTAGTTAAAAAGGTTAAAGCATGATGAAAATTAATGTTTAAATGTAATAAGAATTAACTGTGATTGTATTGTCTAAAATGTATATTAATAATTGATACATTTTAAAAACTTTTACTTTGGTATTTTGGCTTTCGACAGTAATTGAACCTTTGTATTTTTGTTTGCATTTCTTCAGTAAATCTTTTTAAAAGAAGACTCGGTCTTAATCACGTTTTTTTTTTTTTTTTTTTTTTAAACTGGTTGTTGGAATAGAAGCTGCAAAAAGGTGGTAAATAAGGATGTGCACGAAAGGTGTGCCACTACAAATGCTAAAGCTTTAAATAAAAGTGAAACCATCAAGAAAACCCCGACCCCTTCTATGTTTACAAATACAAGCACAGTCATTTAGAGCTCATTTCTGGTTAATGACATCAAAATTTACCAGTATTTTGGAATGAATGTGTGAACGGTCTTTTCAAGAAAATTTCCGAAACGTCCACGCCTGTGTGAACACCTTTTTTATAAATTTACTGGTAAAGTTGTTCCGGAAATATTCCGGATATTAGGCGCGGCAAACATACTAACCATGCCTCTCCAACTGTCAGTTTTGACAGCGCTATGAAAACAAACAGAAATGGTGAGAAAAAGGTATCTATTAGGTTGTACCCTTTCTCAAACTTTCTGAATGAAATGCCTACTTTACTACGTGCAATTTTCTCGGAGTTGAAAAAAAAAAACAACAACAAAAAAACAAGCCACACCCACTGTTTTCTTATTTAATATTCCGTTTTTCTAGGAACTGCATACAATACAAAATGCTACAAAAAAAAAAGATAAAAAAAAAAAAAAAAAAAATATATATATATATATATATATATATATATATATATATATATATATATATATATATATATATATATATATAAACAGTCACAGCTTTTGGTTCATGTGGACTTGAAAAAACAACAGCAAAAATAAATAAATAAATAAAACTCATAAACAAAGACATATCAGCATTGACTATCAGCCAAAAGGAGTTAAAACATACTGGTTTATTGGATCCCATCAAAAATCTAATATCGTGCATCACTAATTTCTGAAGTTATTAAACAAATTGCTGATCATTAATTTAGTGTTATGTGTGCGTGTATGTGTGTGTGTTTGTCAGTGAGGAAAGCAGCTGTAGCAGTGGTCCCAGTGAAGGAGGAGTGCTGTGTGGAGTCATGAGGATCGGTCTGGTGGCCAAAGGCCTTCTGATTAAAGATGACATGGACCTGGAGCTGGTGCTCATGTGCCGAGAGAATCCCACCAAGACTTTGCTGAGCACCGTCTGTGAGCACCTCCCACAGCAGATTGAGGTAATGGCACACACCTGCCGATAGAAAAGACACATGAGCAAGTCAAGCTATGACTTCCAGATCATAAATGTGCCCTTTTTTATTCGATCTCAACCGAAACATGAAGAGAGTGCGGTACAAAATATAGCTACTCTTCCTTTTTTAAAAAAAACAGCCCTCATTGTTTTGTTTTATCACAGCTCTGCTAGTAAGAGAGGTTGACCTCAAGCTCATCAAATTTAAAACGTCATCAAGGGGGCGGGGGATGTCAGATACTAGAGAGCATTTGATTGGTCACGATTTGATGGGAAACTGAAGTATGAGGTGACATGAATAAAATAACGTTGATCCATTTAGGGGGAAGTGACACTACAAACTTGACATGTTTATATTATTTTTTCTGCGCTAATTTTGACACTGTTTTAGTGCACACTTGCTTATAGATATCCTAAAATCTAACGATACTGATACTAACATCTAAACAACTTCATGGGAAGATGAACGTTGGGGTTATCAAATCTGTATCCTGCTTGATAAATTTGAACTTATTTTAGCTCGTTGTTCTGGGTATCGCTGTTGTTTGTTTGTTTTTGTAGCAATATCTGGCAACACTGCATTGCCAGCTCTTAAACTAGACAGGCAGCAGGCTGAAAAGAAATGTGCAGAACTGAGGAGACCACATTCAGTATAACTAACACAATGATCATCACTGTCAGTATAAAACTGTCAAACGCTGTCAAAACAGTAGCATAATAACCCAGAGATCAACAGAAATGAAAAACTAGCCAGAATGAAGGCAAAAACTACGGTTACACTGCACTTTTCACCTCATTGACTTTTATTCATGCACTTTAATTCTGTTTCACAACTCGCTGTGTTCCAAAGTTTAAGCTTGGTGAACTCTGACCTGCAAAATGGCATCACATGATTGATGCATAAAATATGTTTTATGTCATATGGTCAATTTGTTTTATCCCGCCCCTTTTTTGCAGCACTTAAAACAGAATTTTGCATGCTCAAACTCTAGTGTGACCATAGCTTAAGTCAAAGTCCCTTTAAGGCAAGTCATTTCACTTGGCAGTCATCTTTAAAACAGCTCTCAGCTAGTATGCTCGGCATTCTGTTTGAATGGGGAAACATCAAATTCTCTAAAATTGCTTGCCAAACTTCCGATTAAATTTCATATTGTAATTCAGCAAAAAAGTAAAAAAAATAACAGTCTCTTTGGCTTTATTTCTACACGTTGGAATCGCACAAAATCTGCAGAAACTCACAGGTCCAAGTCCCTCCCCCGGAAAATCGTCAGGCAATAACGATCGCTGATTGACTCCTGTACTAGAAGGCGGGGCTTCATTTGCTATACTGACCGTTACTCTTTTCAACATTTAAAACTTTACATGTTGTGTATTCTATTGTCTTTGCTTCAGTTTAGTTGTTAGCTAATGATTTACGAAGTCATGCTTGAACATATGAATATCCATATAACATTAAATAGAACTAGGGACGCACCTAATTTTCAGCCACTGAACAAAATTGGCCGAAAATGTCCAAAACTGAAAAAAAAAAGGTAATAAATAGGAGCTGGAAAAATGTTATTACCCAACAGAGTCCAGCGCACTGGTTTCATTCTCCCTTTAGCCGTAATCACTGTGAGGAGTGAAGAGACTTTCAAGGGCGGTTTGTTGCTGCACCGACCAAAGTTGATGAGCTTGCGCGTGTGTTGCGATCAAAGTTTAAAACAGAGCAATATAATCTACTCTGGGGAAATTCCGTAAACCCATTTCTGTCGCGAACACTCTCAGGATTTAGTATGGTAATGAATATGTATATGGCAATGTTAATATATTTGGTCTTGGCGGTATAAATCTGCTACGCTGCTGCTGCTTTGTTTATTATGGCAGAGCAAGTACCGAGACCTGCTACTGCCAGTATATACACAGACATGCTGTCTGAGAATATAAAACGCTGCTGCTGCAAACTTAATATATATGTAACCCCCGTATCAGATATAAACACAGGTGGAGCTGGGGTGGAGGAAAGTCTTCAAAATGACGTCGAGCATTTAAACTAATGAAGAGCAAGGTCAGGCTGAAGAGGGGACAGCAACCAATCTACTGTGCCATGTAGTTAATGACACAGGAGCAGATTAGGTGAATCTATCAGCCTGCGCACGCTGGAATTTCACATAAATTCATGGCAGAAATTTCACATTCTTACCTATGCATAAACTGCACATGCTCACCGGAAAAGCAAAGTCCGCTCAAAGTGCTAACAGGACATTACTATACTGTAAACTTGTTCTTGCTGCTTGTGATTGCACTAATGTGCAATCAAGGCAATGACACTTTTTCATTCATTCACTGTCAAAAAAATTGTAGTCAATAAAATATGGTTATTTAATTAGCTTCTGCATTTTCACTGAAATACTGTACATTTTTAAAGGCTTACTTTAAAACAACTTTATATTACATAAGATAATAATTCATTATTACAAAGGACTTTCTGTTTTGGTTTTCGGCCATGAGCATCCATAGTTTTTGGTTTCAGCCCATCATTTTCAAGTGCATTCATATCTAAAACATAAATTCTTATTTGTTATTCACACTCCAATCCTTAACTATGATCAAAGCTCAGTTTTTACTGCTGAAGCTGAGGCTCTGTTTTTGGAACTTATTGAAAAAGCTGAATAGCACATTTTTTTATTTTAACTGACTGAAAATATCGTTTACAAACAGGAGCATCCTATTATTATTGGCATTTCAATCAGAGTGAATAAACTAAAAAGAAACTTTTATAATATAGTTTTCTGCTGGATCCCAAGACATGTTGACCTTTTTGAAAATTAACAAGCAAAAAAAGCGGCCAAAACAGCCCTAACTGGAAAAATAAAGAAGTGCAAATACCTACTCTCAGATTTAATGCGACTAATAAAAGGCTGTAGTCTTAACAAATGGCAAGAAGAATAGGATTAGTGCTAAAAAAAATAAACATTGTAAAATCCAGCCTGTAGTAGTACTTTGAATGTTATCAGACAACAGTTTTATCTGGAGAGACTTTAAAGTAGGTATAGGCCGGTTTAAGATTCTGACGGTATGATAACCTTGCATAAAAATATTACGGTTTCACGCTATTATGGTTACTGCTCTAAAATATCCTCTTTTTAAATGTCTAAGGTAAAAAACGAAAACTTTCCCCCTTTGAACACATTATATTTTGTTTATTTTATTTTTATATTTGTTTTAATTTAATCATTTAACCAGGAATGTACCATTGAGATACAATATCTCTTCTACCAGGAAATCTTGGTCAAGACAGGTAGCATAAGACAAAGGCATAAAACATACATATCACAACACATAGACACACACAAAAACAGTATAAACCATAATCAATTGTTAAAACATATGCACTGTTCTAAATTGACAATCTTTAAAATATTTTTTTAAAATAGCAATAGATGGTACAGATTTCATATGTAGTATATTTTGAAGCTCATGCCTTACATATGGAGAAAGCAGATCAACCTAACTGTGTGAAAAAAATGAAAAATTGAATGGCATCTTAAGTAGGAGTATATCTGCTGATCTGGTAGTATAAGTATTTGAACAGTACTCCAACAAACTAGATATGTAATGTGGTAATTTACCAACTAAAGCTTTAAAAAAAAAAAAAAAAAAAGATGTTTTTATGTTCATGTCAGAACAGTAAACATGTCAGGCTAAATAATACAAATGATTTATTGACTTTGCTGTTTTCATTTGTTTTAAAAGCACTGATTATTTACAATTTAAAACAGCATCTTTGGATATCTCTTCTGCTGGAGATACTATTGTCCTAAAATACAAAAACAAATCTTATATATACTGCAGGAACAATATTGCAATCAAATTTGGTGGTTTTAAAACCTTGATTTTACCAAACCACGGTATACCTTAAAAACAGTTATCGTCCCATGCCTACTTTAAAGCAAATATTTTAAAATCTAAATTGTTTAAAAAAGGTATAATTTAAATTAAATTTTTTTTAAAATGTATTTAGATTTTTATTTAATGTTTTATTTTATTTTATTTCTGTTATGTGTTTTACTGTAATGTATATTTTATTATAATGGAAAAAGGATCTTTATAAAATGATATAAATTTGATCTGGTTTTGCCATGAAATAGCCAGAAAAGCTGAAATGGTAATAAATCCAAAACTTTCCCTCTCATACCAATCCTTATTATTGAAAATAATCACATCAAAACTTCTGACATGTTTGAATTGTAAAATTGTGTTTAATTATCTGAAATAAACCATCTATTTGACTGTTTCATTAAATAATTTAATGTAAATAATGAGTTACATTTGCAGATATTATTATTGCATAGTTCTTGACAATGCTTAATTTTCAAACCCTGGCTGCGTCCATACACACAAGCTACAAAAATAAACACTGACCGCACAACCTCCATCACCAAAGGATCTTTGATCTGCTGTGGCTAAATATGTACTCAAAAGACACTTTTTTTTATTGTCCGCGTTTCATCTGTTGAAAGACTGCACTGCGGTTCACTGCAGCTAGTTTTCCCTGAAGAACAAGAGATGCTTGTCTGCGATTGTCCACTTTTTTTGTTCTGGTTCGAGTCAGTTGCTGGCTAACAGTGATGCTTATGTTATGATAATGCACTCATTTAAATGTGCATGTGAGAGTGATTTGTGCTAATGTGCTGCCAAACGATTGCTGCAGTACTGTTTTCTTAAAATGTACTGATAAAAGCTTTTTATTTTTTATCATTTATTATACATTTACATATATTGCTATATATTTTTGTCATTAACTCAAACAATTGACTATTATTTTTGTGAACTGAAATAAAACTGTAATACATTTTTAATATATTAAAACTATTAAAACTGAAACAAAAATTAAACCCAAATATAAATTAAGACATTAAAAATGTAATAAAGTTATGAAATGTAAAACAGGGCTGCATAATGTTGGAAAAATCTGACATTTTGATGCTTTGTTTTGCTGCGATA